TGTGGTGTTCTTGATTAGCAACCAAAAATGTTGGCTCAGAAACTCTGGCATTTGAAGCACGCAAGTCTTAAAGCTGTCAGGTTACAAGACCGTTGCACCCCTAACCCTTTAGGAAAAAAAAAACCAGGGGAGTTCAAATGTGACAGCATTAAGACTTGTGGACTTCAACTCCCAGAATTCCTCCTCTTGCTCTTCATCTTGATGATGTGCGGACGGGCGGGGGGAGCTGGAACCGGTTTTAAACAGCACTGTAGATTTGTGGAACCTCTTCTATAGAAGAGGTTAGAACAGGCAGGAACCACCCCTGGTTTAGATACTCCCTTATTTTCTGCTAGGTTCACCTGATACAGCTACAGAAGGTGTGAAGGACATCATAGGACATCATGAGGCAACTCTGACTAGAACTCATCCATACCAGAGATGGGTTGCTCCTGGTTCAGTCTGGTTCAGCTGAACCGGTAGTGGAATTCAGGCATGGGTTGCAGAACCGGAAGCAACCCAGGCCTGCCATGCCCCCAAACCGGTTCCCTCGCTGCTGCTGGGCTGCCGCAATTTTGATTTCTAGTTGTTCTGCGCATGCGCGAAGAACAATTTACATTGAACAGTGCACACGCGTCTGGCCCATGTGTGAGCAAAGTGAGTGAGTGTGCGTTGTGTGCGGGTTGCGAACCATTAGTGAAACCGGCAGCAACCCACCCCTGAACCATACGATAAATTCATATCTTGAAAAAGTAGATATTCCACTTCATAATTATTGAAACCATAGACTAAGATCAGGCCGTGAGTTATTAAAGCAAGATGGAGAAATCTCTTACCAGCCACCACAAGTTCTTTTTTGTTGATTTTAGATATACTTCCATGCTCCACTTTGCAAATATAATTGCCATTGTCTTCCATCTTGACTACCTTGCAATACATTAGGTTCTCTCTGCCCTTTGTGCTATTCAGAATTGTTTTATTTTTCTGCAAGATAATTTCAGTTTGATCCTGGTGAAGTAGGATGTTCATAACAGTTGAACATGTTATGCAGATCTTATCCCCTTCAGTAATATTCTGTGGTGGGTTGATGGTTATTTCAGGAACACGAAACGGTTCTGCAAAAAAGAAAAAGCCAATCTATCATAATTTTAAAAAAACCACAAAACAATAGCATATGGAAAGTTTCCAGAGAGGTGGCTACGTTACTCCGCTAAAGAAAAAAATTGAGTCTGGGCCTTGTGGCAGCTGTCAGAAAAATAATTTGGGCTCCCAACTCAAGCTGGGGCTGCATAAGAATAAAAATGAGATTCAAACAGCTGTGAGGAAAGAAGAAATATTTATTCCTAAAAGCAAAACAGTTTGCATTTAAGGGCAAGGTGCAAAGAAATGGGGTACAGCAAGAGATTTTTTTATAGGGGGAGCTTGTCTGGGTGTCATGTGCTGATTCTGGGATGACACTTGAGGGGTATGTGTAGTATATTTATTCTTGTGAATATGGAGCTCCTCTGAGAAACCTAATTTAATTAACTCTAGCGTGTTTGCAGAACTGATCCATTGATATGTGGATAAAGTAACTTATTTGAGGAAGTTTGCCAATTTTAGTTGATTAACTTAATTTCAGCTTGATTCTTAATTATCTAGTGGAGACACTGATTCTCAGATCATTATGGATTTGTCAATATTTTAAGGGGAAGATGGAAACAGTATAAAGAATAAAATATATTTGGTTATAAAATTTCTCGCACATCGTATAAGCTAATTAAGAATTTAAGATGTCATTGATTATGGTCCACTTCTTTAGATATATGTAGTATTATCCATATGAAGGACTGAGGAAAGGGAAGGGTGGGAAGGATAAAAGTAAAGATTAAATAAGGAAGTAAAAATAATTATTATTTATGGTTAGTTGCATGTACTATTATTTATTTATTGGTATTGTTGAGACTCTGGGAAAATATGCATTTAGTTTAAGCACTTGCTGTCCAATGGTGTGTGTGTGTGTGTGTGTGTAGATGGTAATTTCAACTGTGTAATGAAAGCCCTGCCCTACTCCTTTGTACATGCATGCAACATTGACACATATACAAAAGGAACAAGGGATAAACAAGGGAAGAGCCGAGGTGGCGCAGTGGTTAGGGTGCAGTACCGCAGGCCACTTCAGCTGACTGTTATCTGCAGTTCAGCAGTTCT